CTTTTTAATCCAAAATTACTCAATTACGACAAGCTAGAAATATTTAACAACCAGAATATACATTTCATCAAAACATCAACTTGGATTGACCACACAAATAACAAATTGTTACTCATTTCACATATTACATTATAACCAATAAACCATTAACACCATTAAAATAATTCCCTATCCTGACCATAATGGGTATCAGTTAGACTATTCAGATCTACAAACATATTTTGAAAATGAGAATACAATTTATAACCAAGACAAAAAATGCATTAATGCATTAAAAATATAATCCAATTTGTAATTTTATACCAACTCCCTCAAGGGAAACCAAATATAATACTTACATGGAATTTATCTGAAACTACAATCTCAAAAAATTGTCAAGAATTAAATGGGGATATAAAAATAAATGGAAGCAAAATTATAAGAATAAAACAATGTTATGTTAAGATTGGAAATGTTATTTTAAACGAAAATTCTTTAAGTCCAGCATTTGATTTAACTCAATTGTATTAATCGATTAATACCACTAAGATAAAAATGGTAGAAGATAATGACGTTTTAAAATTAATTTCAGAATATAATTCCACATTTTATATAACAATAATAATTGTAATTATTTTTATTATCATTCTTCTTGTCCTATCAAAAATTTTTGCACCAAATCCAGTAAAAAATAATCAAGAAACACAAGAAAAAATAATCAAGAACCACAACAACAATAGAACCGACACAAAACCTTTTTCCTGCATTGTACCCTGTATTGCCAGCACAAGCATAGGCAACCCTTTTAAGAAAAGGGAAGTGACATATTCACATATCTAGTACTGTTCGAATATATAAGAATATGCTGAGTAGGCGATCCCACGTAATCAACATTAAATGTAAGCAACCACATCCGGAGTAAGCGATGCCGTTCTCCTTACAGGCACTCCAAATCGTCCGTTATGGTATACAACCAATACCCCAAGCGGGATAGCTCGCTCCCAAAATTAATGTAAACAAAAGGGCAGCACAAGAAATATTTTTGTCGCAAGAGTTAGTCTTAAGCTGAGATTTAATCAATAAAGACGTGAACCTATTTCATTGATATTTTTATAATTATATTTCTTAGCGTTGTTCTTAGTCTGGGACATTTGTTTGACTTGGTAGCGTGTAATAATGCCCCTCTCAGTAAAAGATATTTTCTGGAATATTTAAAATACGGAAACTTTCAATGTCAGAAATACCATTTTTGCTTGTTGTGACATTTTTGTTCACATATTTGGACCTTAGTCATAAATGTAATGCAGCACACATGAATGCCATTCAATTTTGCCATTTTGAGTAAAGCTCTTTTTTCTTCAAGCCAGTCTTTAGAGCTGACTTTAATAAGGACGGCGTATTTGGAATGTCAATGCATGACAAAAATGTTTTTTTATCGGTTAAATAAAAATCGATATTTTTTTTCTGATATTGGCGGATTTTCCAGGGATTTCTGGAGTTAATTGAAAACTAGTGTCTCTATGTTCTGTTTTGCACATTTTAAATACTTCGCATTCATTAATAATGTTCTGTATTAACTTTTGGTAATCTGGGTAGTAATATTTTTCTTTAAAAATCTTAGTTCGTTTCTCTATTCCGGGATGTAAAAGATCTCTGTGGTTTTCTATAGTTATTTTTTTAAATTCAGAATATGTTGTATCTATATCTGGAAAGAGGTAGAAAAATAAGCAAACGTCTACATCTGTTGAGTTGATATTTCAAACTGAATTTTATTTCTTTAAGTCCTAGCTTAAGTAGCTAATATGAAATTCACATGTTCTAATCTTAGACCAACGCAGTGGCCATTTGTTCGCCAAACATTTAAACGGCATTCATTATCTATCGCTTGCAGGAGTTAGTGGTATTTTTTCAGAATTATATATTCCTAACGCTCAAGCGTTATTTATTATTAAATATAGGCAGACCCATGTTTGACTTGTGCTGCAGCAGTTCATTTGTTTTACGTACAATATACATATGTCGCAGTGTTGTTATTTTCTTGTGTATGATCTGCCATGTTGACACACAAACTCTCGAGTGAAGCGAATTCCATCCGGCGTGTGCAATCGTCTGTATGCAACTGCTCACATTTTCTACGCATCGTTTTGGCTCTTTTTTTTTTAACATTTGGTCATTGGTTTTGCTATGTCTGCGTAATTTGGAATAAATTAATCCAAGGAAAGCTCTGATTTTGGGATTGGATATGAATCTCTCACTTTAATTTTTAGAGGGTTTGGTTTTTAATATTAGGGGTTTCTTTGTGACCAAGAAGACAAGCTTCCTTTTTTAGGAATTCACAATTATCCAACGTATCTGCAACGTTAAAAGGCCATTTGATGTTGAAACTTCAAATTTTGAAGAGCAACCCGAAGTATAATTTTATTAATCATATTTATCGTGTATCCTGTTTCTATTAGGCATTTGTATGTATAACCTTTGTATTTCCTCTAAAATGTGCTATTTGAGGATTTAGGATTTTATTGTAATGCTGTGGGAAAGGACTTATGGGAATACTTGGTTGTATGTTTATATATGGTGTTTTGGGTCTGAAATAATTTTGTATAGGTGTGGGTCTAAAATTAGGTTTTATTTTTTGTGTGTATTGTGTATATTGTGGATAACTTGCTCGATATTGAGTATTTGTGTTTTTGTTTTTTGGTTGTTTTGAATTCAGATTAAGATTTGAGTTTTTATTACGGATTTCCGGATTTTTATTTAATTCAAAATTTATATGTTCTTCATAAATTCCCTAACTGTGTGCTATAGTAATTGCACAAAATAGCATGATTAGCCAAAATTGTAAATAATTGTATTGGTAGATTTTAATCAGTGTTTTAATGGAATCTTTAATTGTTTGAAGATAAATAAGAAATTCTGGTTGGTTACCTTCCAATCGAAATCAAGATTTGACGTTGTCTTTCCGCCACCACGCAGAATGCCGTCGGATTTCCTTTAAAAGGTGTCTCGGTGTAGTTCGGTGTTTGGGGCTTAAATTCTGCGATTAGTCTCGATTTGAGGGTAGGCCAATCTTCGATGTTCGGAAGTCCCAAAGATCGTGTTACTTGACGGTCCAAGTAGAATCCAAGCACATCGTTAATTTGGTAGAGTGAAATCTTTAAATCTGTAGAGTAAATATCTTTTTAAAATGTTGTTTTTTTTTTTATTTTAATTTCACAATTTTTGTTGCTTTTTGCCTTTGGACTTGATGTTTTATTTTTATTTTAGTTTTCTAGTTCCACTTCCATTTTTTGGGTTAAACGACCGTATAGGAATTATAATCCAAATCAAAGATTTTTCCCGTATTTGTGTTGTGAATTATTTAAAAGAACTAGTTTATAAAATTTTATTAATTAATTTATATTGAACGACCGAATTGGAATTATCACCCTTATAAGTTGAAGGGTGTTCGCGTCCTTGCGATGGAAAATTTTTACAAGAACTGGATTATACAATTTTATTTATTTTCCACTCGAGGTTTTTTTTTTTAGGATACTTTTTGTATCGACTGCGCCAGTGAAATGTTTAAAGTTAAACCGAGTCAAACAAATGTCCCGTCCCGTGGACTAAGAAAAACGCTAAGAAATAAAATAATAAAAAGATCAATGAAATAGGTTCACGTCTTTATTGATTAAATATCAGCTTAAGCCTAACCCTTTTGTTTACATTAATTTTGGGAGCAAGCTATCCCGCTTGGAGTATTGGTTGTATACAATAACGAATGATTTGGAGTGCCTGTAAGGAGAGCAGCTCGTTTACTCCGGATGTGGTTGTAGCTTTGTCACGGCCTCAAATGTACTATGATGCCATGATGAGTTGGTTGGAGTTCAGTGGCTTATGCTGCGGGAATTGGAACATTATTTGTTGGCTTTTGGCATACACACAAATGGTTGACATACATAAGTGGTTATCAGTTCGCAATTTTCCATTGCCATTTTTAATTGCACGTTTACATTGCCGACTCACCTGCGCAAACGATACTATATTTTTGTGTACGGCATTTCAATAATAAGTGATTATTAGAAAGTATAACCCTAGCAATTAATAGTATGGTTAGCTAATTTCAACCATACAACCTACATCACCCCATTAACTTGGCAATTATAAGCCATTCAATTAATGACTGATAAGCATTAGGAAATGACAGAAATAGAAAAGACTTCTTTTGTTGGGGAAATCGTTTTCATGAATGCCGACTCCGCAGACTGCCGCTCATTATTTTGAATTAATTTTAATGATGCGCCTTGATTGATTGATGGTATTAAAAATATATATACAATTGAAGTGAAAAATAACTCAGTAAGTGGCCTTTTTCTACTGCTGGTCGGGTTGGTTGTGCTCCTGTTCCCGGTCCCCTTCTCGCTCCCTCTCGCGGTCCCTCTCCTGATGCTTCAGGGACAATTCCTGCTGCTTTTTGAGCAGCTTGTTGCGCAGCAAGGTCTCCAGTTGGACGCAGAACTCCGACTTGGCGATGCCCGTGTCCAGGTACACCTCCCGTTTGTCGTTCCTTCTGCCACCACGTCTACGCACCGCCTGTCTGCCGAAGGAACAGCCTTGTGTCATCGAGGTTTCCGATGATGAGTTGCGCTTGCCGCGAATGAAACTGTACCCAGGCAGCCAGCGGCGGAGCAGGCGGTCTAATCGGGCCAAGAGTCCCAGTCTAGAGGCCTCCCCACTGCTTTCTTTACGGCCGGAGTTCTCGTCGGACAGACCCTCCATGCTCGAGTTTGATGTTATTTTTCGAAGTCTCTAGTTCACAATTTTTCTGGGGAGCTATCGCCGTTCTTTCTAAATGCTCAAAAGCCTCGAGATGCCTGCTATGTTTCCGAGTTTCCATATAAAAACAAAAAATTTAACTAAACGAGCATTTTATGTGATAAAATCAGTCCACGTAATTGTTTTTTCATCAACTGGCGGCCGGCTTGAGACCCCGAATAAAAACTGTGTACATATGAATTAAGTTCTTCGAGGAAATTGTTTTGTTTTGATGTTTGGATGCAGTTAAATTAAAATACTTTCATGCTTAGAGACTTGCCGTGAACTCCTGTACTCCAAATCAATATTTGTGCAGGTTAAAAAAAATTTTTTTTTTACTTTACTGGTGCACAAGCGGGAGCAGAATTAAGTCGGCCATAGGCCTTCACAATTTATTTTCCTATGATTACTTGAGAAGCAATTTATAGCTACAATTAGTTAAATTTTTGAGGTTTAACATGATTGGGGGTGAATTTTAAGTTTTGACATATTAACATTTTGTTTGTTAACATTTCAACAAACAAACAAATTAAATTGCCTTGATTCGTTTTAGTATTTTAAAAGGTTTTGTAGTTATTTAAGACAGTGACGTTGACTGGTAACATAAAACATTGTATGGATTGTTTACATCAACAAAAAGAGACAATTAATTGGATTTAACATTGATCATAAGTTTCTTTCAGTTACCCCCGCCAGAAGGATCAAAGCAACAAGATGTTAGAGGCCTCAGAAATCATTGCATGTGGATGTTTGGAGTTTTTTGATCCCGATTTGTAACCATTGCAAGATTTGTTTGCAACGTTCCAAATTGGGCGAGCATTGCAGGTAAGCATAATCGCATTGAAATTCCCTCGCAGCCGTCAGTTTGTGGTGGATTCTACCCCTTCAGCAGTATTCGATTTCTTACTTTATTGGTGGACAAGCGGGAGCAAAATGAAGTCCGCCGCAGGCCTCCACAATTTATTTTGCCTCTGGATTACTTGAAAAGCAATTTATAAGTACAATTAGTTACATACTTGAGGTTTAACATGATTGGGGGTGAGTGTTTGGATTTGACATAGTTTGTTAACAGTAAATAGTTTCAACAAAATATTACATTGCTTTGATTTGTTTTAGTATTTTAAACGGTTTTGCAGTTATGTTAAACAGTGACGTAGACTGGTAACATTTAACAAAATTAACAAAAAGAGACAATTAATTGGATTTAACATTGATCATGAGTTTCTTTCAGTTACCCCAGCCAGAAGGCTGAATGCAATAAGATGTTGAAGGACCCAGAAGTCATTGCAGGTAGATCCTTGGAGATTTTTGATCCCGATTTGTAACCGTTGCAAGATGTGTTTGCAACGATTCAAATTGGGCGAGCCATACAATTAAGTATAATCGCAGTGGAATTCCCTCGCAGCCGTCAGTTTGTGGTGGATCCTACCGCTTCAGCGGTATTTGTTCGTTGAATTTATTTGAAATTGCAGAAATTTTCCGCCGGTCGCCAGTGAGAGAAATTTGGAGAGGAGTTCCGCGCAGCCGTCATTTGAATGGATCTTCAAGGCCTCTGGAGTCATATCCGGCGGTGGACACTGCCTGCTTTGGGTCAGAGGAGATATCGCTGAAGATTGGAGCTCGGTCGAGGATACCCGAGCATTTTCAGGAGCGCCACCTCTTGTGTTCGTTGCGTGAGGGAAGGCATCATTGGAGCCGCCGTCCGAGAGTTTTTCTGCTCAAGGCCGCAGCGCCGAGCACAAGCTTTGGCTTGTGGCCAAAGCGTGGAGTTTGGAATTGGATGCGATAAAAATGAGATAAGTCTACCACTCTGCATGCGTTGGAAGTGAATACGGAAACTAAGTCAGAAAAGTTATTTATTTATTTTATTTATTTATTTTTTGTTTTGTTTGATTTTGATTTGTATTTCTTTGTTTTTCAGGTACTAGAAAGGATTCTCTTTGGTCTACTATAGGAGAATAAATATTCTATTGCAGGGATATAAGAGCTTTGCGATTTGTTGATTTAATTTACTTCTATTTGCAGGGTATATTCAAGGTTGCCTTGCAGCGTGAAAATGATAAGTCGATACCTCAGCTCCGAGTGTGACAACTGGAACAGAGGCATGTGGAGGTGGAGACGGCATTAAAAGAATGTCAATTTTTGGCTAAGTGGGCAAGATAAAGCATGGAGGTTCTTTTGTTTAAGGTAAGTCATTTGTTATTGTTTCCTATTGGCCTTAGCATGTTTTTGTAATTGTATTAATATAATTTTATTCTTTTGAAAAGTAACTTCAAAATTGCACTACAGCGGGAAAATGAGGTATTCGTGGACAATTTTTTCGACTGTTTGATGGGTCCGCAGCTTAGAAATGAGCAATGTAGGACTGCAGTGACTAATTAAAAACTTATAGAGGATAGCTGCGCCAAAAGCTTCAGGTAAGTGACGTTGTGCATACACAGCTGCAAAGAATCGCATTGATTTCATCACGTTTTTGCCGCGTGATGTGCGGTTTCGTGGTTTTCTAGGCATCGCTTCGTCAGGATCAGCAGGAGTAGATTTTCCGCAGGCTTCTTCGTCCGGATACATAGAGTGAATGTTGTGGTTGCGTTTTTATGTTTAACGATTGATTGTTTTGTTTTTTTTACAGGTATTTATGCGCATTAAAGTTAGAGTTAAGGTTATTGGAATTGGATTATGTAAAAGTCAGGGTTCCTTTTTTAATTGGTACAGAATAAATTAGGAAGTAACTGTCGTTTAAATTGTAAAGTCAATTAATGTTTGTGTTTGCTCTGGCATGGATATTTTTTTGTGTTGGGGGAAACTTTGCGGGCAAAGGGCAGGTTTTTGAAAAAGGCAGAGTGCGAATTAATTTTGTTAGTTTTCGGGTTCATAGTCAGGTATTATGATTTTGATGACCGGAGTTGGCTGGCCAGGCATTAATTCTAGGACTCTTTCCCTAGTGACTCTTTCCTGTCTATAGAGGAGCTTTTCTTTCATTTCAATTCTTTCCAAATCGGCCTTTCCCTTTAATTTCACTTGCTTCGTTTTCCTCGTCTTCAATCCAGAGTAGTGTGGGGAGAGTTAGTCTGTGCTCGGATCTAATTTTTGAGATTATTTCCTGTTCCTCTTTATCGCTGTAGTGGTAGAGTGACTTGTAGGTAGGTTCGTTAGGGGGTTTAGCAGGTTTAGTAGCAGGGGCTGTAGGTAGGTGGCATGTTGGTTAACGTATCTAGATCTGCTTGCTGCAAGTCTTGTGGCCTTGATTTGAACGGCGTTCTTAGTGAGGAGGGAGCGGCTTAATATTATAGTGTCATCAGCATAGGTTGCGAGGATGATGTTCATAGGGTGGTAGTCAGGAAGAGATATATTGCGCAAATATCCGTTAAGGATGGCATGTCTGATGTGTAAATAGAATAAAGGACCGGTCCCACGATGCTGCCCTGAGACACCCCATAGTTTCCATAGTTTTTCCATTTTGTATCTATCCGATGTGTCAATTCCTTCTAGCTGTTTATTGATGTTTTTTGCTTTGAGTTTTTTAATCTTCTTTGATAGATTGCTCTGGGCACGGTTACACTCCTCCATTCCTGGAGAAGGTGGGATTTTGGACAAGGTATGTGTGGAAGCCTTTGAAGTTAAGGGCGTTTGAATATCGCTTTAATTTTGTTTCAACTACTAGCATAATTTGTATTTCTTCCTTTTTAATGAATGCCTCAAGTTCGTCGTTTTTGCTGGTGACTCCACATGCATTCCAGTACCCTATTTGTAGGGTATAGGAGATTTGTCCGTTGTTTGGGCTTAGGGTCATATTAGTGTGTTTTTTTGCTGATAGAGATTATATACAAGTTTAAGTTAGAGGCTTAAGTTAAATTAAGTTATTGCGGGTAGTTGTGGTCGGTTTTGGGGTCGTCAGTAGGGCTTGCTTGAAGAAATGATTCCGTATCCATGGCGGTGGTCGTGGGCGTAGCTTCTGCGATAACTCTAGGCTTGAAATAAGCTCTGGCAGCTAGGCTAGTTGTAGGTGGTCTTTCTTGTCTGGGAAATGTCCGTTTGATCTGAAAGTCCTGGTCCTCGCGCGTTTTCTTTTCGTTTTCGTTTCTTTTTCTTTTTGTTTAGCAGTTGGGGCTTTAAGTTGTCTTTTTTCCTCCTTTGCTGGCATTGTTGGAAAATGCTTAAGCCAGCTTAAGGTAATTATCCAGCAAGAAATTATACAAAAGTTCCAGGATCATCGTGACGAGATACGCCAGACTGCCCAGAAACAGATCCTTGTTATGCAGAACGAAAATAGGCATACCTATAATCTGAGACGTAAACCCGCATTGACATATAATATAATGACATATAATTTTAGGACTTATTAATTCGGTCGCAAATTTGAAATAAATACTGATCACAGACCACTTGTGTGGTTACACAATTTAAAAGAAACCAATAGTTAACTAAAAGGATGGAAAATAAGGCTAAATGAATATGACTATCATATTATTTACATACCATGCAGCGAAAATAACGTGGCCACCAGTAACACCAGAAAGATGAAACTACATATGTGTACACAGCACAGCAGCAAAGAAGATTCTCAAGGACTTATTAAAAATTTTATAAAAACGATTAAACTTGGCAAAACTACAGGTTATTTTGATCAAGACATAATGTTAGTGAAGTCTGGTCACAATGGAAGTGGCTTTTATTGCAAATTTTATTTTCATAATTGAGGAAAATTTGCATTTTAAGTTTGAGTTAAGACGTGCTTAGTTTGTACGGAAGCTTCTGCTTATTCAGTTATTTCTTGTGTTACAATCATAAAATACAACAATAAGTTTGAGGTTGCTGATGAGCCCCGAGTAACGGTTAATTCTCTTTGCTGTCAACATGAGCAACAGCGACGAAGACCTAACTGTTTTGAAATGGTAGAGAGTAAAATCAAAGCCAAAAAAAAGAAAAAAAAATCACTGGACAACTCATCAAGCACCAGCGCAAATAAATTCGCTCTCTTAAGCGACGGAATGCCCGACAAAAGAGGAAACAAAGATGACAAGAACGAAG